TTTTAATAGTGCTATTATTTATAGTAGTGATTATACTAGATGGACTGTTTTTCTGCTGTGTCCATGGGCATCTGATAAATGTCTCTTTCTCCCCTCTCAAAACACATGCCTATTTAATTGCTTAAAACAATTCTAGTTTTATTAATAGACTGATATCTTCTAGTAAATATAGTTTAAGAAGAAGGAACAAATCAGATTTTGTATCACAAAGCAAGACAACCTTGGTTTGGTTTCAAACTTAGGTGTAGTCACAGATACAAGTCGAGATGATAACTTGGAGAAATTTTATCAATGATCTTATCCTTTTAACATTTCCTGAAAGAGTCTGTTCCATTAGTGTCCTGCTGGGACAGACCATGTTGCCTGAGGAAAGTTTTGTAAACCAGATCTCTGACTATCATAGATTTCTCATACAAAGGTCAATGGTTTTTGTTTGACTGTTTGGTCCAAAGATGCATTCTCTGTTATACAATTAGTATAAAACACAGTATTTTCAGTCAGTAGATGTTATTCAATGCCTCATAATGATGGGAATTTAAAATCTTTTAAATTGAAGGCAGTTTGAAATAGTGATTACTATACTTTGGATCCAGCCTGCCTCCATTTGTATCCTGGCTTTGCTATTTACAGGCTTAGGATCATGGGCAATTGGGTTGAACTTTGTCTTAGTGTCTTAATCTGTTAAATAGAAATAACGATAATAGTACTTCATGAGGTTGCTGTGAGGATTAGATATGAGTACTTGAAGTACTCATAGCAGTTCCTGGCACATGGTAAGCTTTATATAAACATTCATTGTTGCTCTTATTTTCAATGGCAGTGTCTATATTTAGACCTGGTGACTTGGGGACCACAAGTTTCAAGTGCCGTTTTTCTGTGACTAAGTTAACTATTGCTGACCTTACTGTTAGTTTTCTCTGTCTGGTTTCAAAGGGCATTAGTTCTTGTCCCGTCTTATGATTCCCATATATGCTTATGTTGTAATTGGAGTCCATAGTAAATCAGTATTCCCAATGTTTTTATTTTGTATTAATCAGCTCTTTGGAACTGCATTAGTTTAATATATTCGGTATGCTGAAAATATATGTGCATTTTAAATATTCATATGCCACATCAAGATAAGAATTTTTTTTTCGTAAACTTTTATTTGGTAAATTCATTTTTCTCGAAAAATTTTTAACAGTCTATTACTCAGTTTCAGGGTTTAATGCCAGAGTTATATTTGAACTGAAACATGGAAATTCTTTTCCGTACCCTTTTCTCTACTTTTGTGAAGAGAACTGTGGTTTTAAAGAAGCAACCTGTCTCTAACCAGATATGTGATTTTGGATAGTAGCCCAAAGAAAGACTATATGATATTTCATTTTCCTTTAAGCTTAAAGATTTCATATATCATAAATCACTTTAATAAAATTCTTCTTACGTGGCTTATTAAATTGCTCTCATTTCTTTGTGGTACTTTATATTGCAAACCAAACTTCTAAAATATCTAGTTTATTTTTCTTTAATTTGTATATTCTCAAAATGTTCCAGTTAAACAATATATTATGATAGCACTGTCTTCAGAGGTGTGTAAAAATCTCATTCAGAATAACTTTCAGAGTCTTTGCTGTGTCCTAGAAGGCTCTTCGCCATTGACTCTTTCTCTGTCTGACCTCATCTCCTGCCATTCTCCCACTTCCTCCAGTCTAATCTCACTGGCCTTCCCACTGCTCTGTGAAGATGCCCAGCATGTTCCACTTGGGACTTCTGAATGCCTTGTTTAATTTACCTGGAACTCTCTTCTTCCCAAATCCACGAGTTTGCTTTCTCCCTTCAGTTAGGTTTCAGTTCATATGTCACCACATTAGAGTTCTGTAATCCTCCTATCTAAAATAGCCTCCTACCCCCATCATTCCCCTCTTCGGGTTTCTTTATAGATCTAATCTCTAACTAACGTGTTGATTTTACTTGTTTATTGTTTGCTTTTCCACTAACACGTAAGCTCCATAGAAACAGGGACTTTGTTCTGTTTAGTGCTGTGTCCCTGTTGCCTCATAGGAATTTTGATTCCATATAGCAAGCACTCAAAATTTTTGTTGAATTAAGAAAATAAATTATAATATTTCAGTTGCATAATTATCTTGGGCTTTAAAGCACTTAGAGATTGCCTTTAGATATATTTTGAAAGTAGATCTGAATTATAGTCCAGTCATAATATTCCTTTAGCCACCAGGATAGAAGAATCTCAGTACATGAGAATATAAAAAAGATAGAATTGATCTGATTTAAGAATAAAGAATATTTGATTTATGAGAGAAAAATGCTTGCAGATTATCTAGCATAGAGTTCTTATCTTAAAGATTGGAAAACTAAGACCTGATTATATTAGCAGGTGTGCCAGAGGTCACATGGCTTGTTGGTGGCAGAGACCTAATTTTTAGTCTATAACGTACTTGTTATGATTTTATACAATTTACATATGATTGTGTTAAATTTTCTAGTAAATTTGTTTTATTCCACTTACATGCAACTTTGCTATCTTTTCTAAAAGAATATGCCGTAATAATATTTTCTCATTTTTTTTTTAAAGTTGCACAACTCTTGCATGCTACTAGGTGAATGTAGGGGGTCGTCTTTGGGATGCTTCTGTCTTCTTTGGAAATATCCACTTGGGTGTCTCATGGTTAACAGAATAAATACTTGCCAAAGCAGATTCCTTCTAATTTCACTTAAACGTGACATGTTTGCTGTGTTACCTTTAGTAATTCATTCTGGTTGCTTAGTTTCAGAACTGTAGTTGGGGAGGAGTTTTACATTTTTCCTCTCCTTGTCACCTATCTCCCACATCCAGAAAGTTGCCAAGTCCTATAGAGCTTCTTTCTCTCCTGGTAGATCTGCAGGCACAACCCTCTGCCAGATGCTGGCCATTGCAGAAATGTTGTGACTGTGCATATAATTACAGAAACCATTCTCTAGGAAATTAGTCAAATTCATTAGATAATGTTGAATTTTGTTAGTGAATAACTCATAAAACTTCATTTGAGGAAGCTCAGCAAGGAGGTAGGGGAAGTATTTATATAGCATTTAGTACAGTGCTTTGGACATCGGGTTTGCCCACTGAAATAAATTGCCCAGTAAAAAAAATGCCCAGTGAAAAAAAGTGAGTTATTAAACATAACACCTCACTTTAAGAACATATTCTTTTTCTCTTGCTACAGTTTTTATTTGCTCAGTAACAACAAAAAAAATAACACTTTTTCTTTTTTTGTTGTTTTTAAAGCTTTAAATGAGCTGTTTAAAAAGTCGTCTGTGTACAGATTGAGAAATTGAGTAATTAGCTGCTTTTCAAAGCTACATAAGCTCTTTTACCCCATCAGATTAAAAAAAAGGGGGGGTGGTGGAAAGAGTTAATACAGCTTTAGAGAGGCCTAATTTACAACTAAGGAGTACCTGAGAGCTCTTGGAGAATTTGACACAATGAGTTAGATCAACCCCACTTTCATTTCCCCCTAGCTGCTGTTTGTAACATAAATAAATCCATGATCTATAATTGTTAAGTAGAAGTATTTGAATGCCTCCTAGTGGCATTTTGTGGCTCTAATTAATGAATTTAAAAAGTAATATTTATTGAAGGAATATTATGATAACCTATTAAAGCTTGTAAGTTAATAAAATCCTTTAATGGTAACATCCTAAGTGAAGTCAAAATACATTGTTTGCCATATAAAACTGATTAAAAACCTGACTGGAAAATTTGATACATATGGCAAAGATGAATATACTTTGAATAAAAATTTTTGGTTTTTGTTCAAATTGAATTATTTTAACTGACTTTTTATGTAATGTAACTATTTTGCACTTAAACATAGACAAATGTGGCTACTAATAGGATTTGGATTGCTTTGTATACATTGATTTTTTAAAATTAATTGTGATTATCATGTGGTTTGTTTCAGTTTCTTTGTATAATAATAGAGATAATGGTTTATAGAAAGTCTGGTTCATTTTCAGATTTTTAAAAATTCTGATCTTCCTGTTGAATAAAGTTATTTAATTGGTAATCCTGAAATACAGACTATAGCAAAACTTTAAAATGATTAAAAATGATTTAATTGTTGCTGTATACTTAAAAATGACTTTACATCTACAGAAATATAATTGTAAATGGAAAGAAAGTCACATTAAAAGAATTCTGATGAGGGTCAGAAGAAGGGAGAAAAAGTGATATCCTTTTCTTAAGCACTAAAAAATGTTTAATTAACTGCTTACTAAAACAAAACAATTAAAATGGCAATTACCTTTAAAATAGCAACAATGTAATTACAGCTGTTGTGATATAAAGCTAGGAAACAAAATGTTAATCTGGAATGAACAGTTTAAATATGAAATTATGATATACTTGGCTTCCTGTAGTACAGCTGTCAAGCTTGGGCAGTTCGCTGGTCAATAGTGACATTCTATGTGTCAGTGAACAGAGTCTCTTGATACCATAACCCGCAGTTCACACATTACTGAAGCTCCAACTGTCGAACATTCAAGTCCCCTGATATTATTGCAGCTTCCAGACTCTCCTGACTGGCTCATGTTTCATTCTTTGGCAATTTGCCCTAATGATATCCCTTAGGAGCTTTCAGCCTCTCTTCCTTTCCATATTTAATCATGTTATATTAATCTGAGTGATGCACAAACTATGCTGTACAAATTGTAATTTCCTACAATTTTTCTAAGATAGTCACGTAATTTTTCAGTTTTACCTATGTTCTAAGTTTTCAATCCCAAGCTCTGTATTTTCAGATGATTATAACTATCTACATGATTCTACTTTTGCTGTTCATATATGTTTCAGAGGGGCCTCTGAGACATAAGACTTTTAACATGTAGAATTGGTAAAGACAGTGTGATTTATGTCATTATGTAAATTGTTCTGTGATTACCATTCATCACTGATACATTGAACATTCCTTTTTGTTTGGAGGGTCAGCAGCTACTTATTTTTATTATCCTTTTACAAATTTTAGTTAACTGCCTGTATCCATGGATCAGCTGCTCTCCTATACCCAATGTATTGGCAACACATATACATCCCAGTGCTTCCTCCACACCTGCTGGACTACTGCTGGTAAGCTGGCTTTTGCCAGACTCCTTTAAATTTAGGTTTCATGATTAGAAATCTGTTTCTTTGTTAATTAGGTAAATTTGGGGGTATATTTAAAAGAAATCATGGAAACTTATATATTAATAAATAGTAAAGAGGACTTTTATGAAGGACGGAATATTTCTGTAGAAAGGTACCACAAATTTATACTTAGCAAACATAAAGTTCTTTAGGTTTTGTGAATTTCTTCTGCAGTCATTTAGATAACTCAATGTAAAATAGAGAAAAAGAACAGTTTTAAGTTGTGTTTAGGAAAAGTGTACAGAAGTTATGCTACCAGTTAGAGAACCCAATATCCTGGTGTCAGAATTTGTCTGGCAAGTCTGCCAGAAACCACATTGTCTCTGTCAGGGAATATTCTTGTTACCTTTACTTCACAACACATTTCTTTACCCCTCTTTTTTTCCATAATGGCACATCAAATACCAAGAACTGGCAAAGGGGTTGTCTCTAATACAATAATTTTTGTTTTTGGTGTAAGTCAAAGTCTCACCCTTGAGCTACCATGAAAAGCAGCATTGAAAAGTATTTGGAGCAATTCTGAAAAGCTTCCTAGCATTAGACACAATTCCCAAGACCCACCCAATAACCAGGCCTCTAGAACCTCCTTGTTCTCTTCGCCTGGAAGAGTCTGCATACTTATGAGGCTAAACAAGGATTAGACTCCTAAATGGCAGCTTCTGGGCCTTCCTCAAGACTAGGGGGAAAATATGTTATCTTCATTGCATAATCATCTTCTGCAGGTATAGCCTAATTCTTAAGAAATGTGATGGAATTTTTCCTCTAAACCATTGTGCACTCACATAGAAGGAAACAATTTTGACCTTAATGTGTTTGCTTGTATCATAGCTAATGTTATTAAAACACAGCACTTTTAGAATCAGTGCATTCATTTAACTTCCTTATTTCATAAAAGGCAGAAAATATTAAGGATTAAAAATGATTTCAGTTCATACATAGAGGGTTTCTTTTAACTTTTTATGATTAACCCTTTTCGGAACAAGTGATTGTAGTGACAACTCATGTACTTGGCCACATATTGATTGTATTAGTATATTGGTGTGTTTCCACAGCATGGTAGTATTATTAGTACTGATAATGCTGTGAAGTAGGTGCCCAGTGACCTACCACTGCTGTTACGCTGTTTGAGAGCTAGAAAGGAGAAACAGTTTGTCAGGAAACTATAGGAATATAGTTTATATTATTAAGTGTCACACACACAAGTCTAAGAATAAAGCTAAATCTGTAAATAGGCCCTCTGTCATTCATTTTAGAGTTTTTCTTTGACCAACATACCTATAATATTTTAGCATTCCTTAAAGGGAGGATATCTCATTTATTTGTGTTGACATATGCAGTAGATCTTTGTATATACTGTTGAGTAATTAAACTTTATTTAAAAATATATTTTATAGCAGTATTTGGAAATATGTATGGTTTTACATAATATATCTTTAGAATTACATTTTATATATATTAGTACCATCTTAATTTTCCTGTTAAAATAACCTCTTAAAAGGTAAAACACCTTTAATTAAGCTCAATGATCTGTAATGAATTATACATTTAAGACTTCTTAAAATGTTACTTAGGAACTATTCTGTGACACAGGCAGTTCTGTACTAATTTTTTCGAGAGCTTTTCTGATAGTTTCTACCCCTCCCATCAAGTTCAATGAAGGAAGCTTGTTTCTTATTTCAGTCCCTGGAATTTTCTTTCTAATTTCCAATGTCTGAAATAGCCTTTGGGTTAAGTTCTTATAACAGCTTCCATGCCAAAAACCTCCCTGGTTCAAAGAGTAAATCAGTGATATTCAAACAAGAAGTTATCTGAAACTTCCTGAATCTTAGGGTCACAAACGTAGGCTCAGCTTCCATCATAGGAACTGAGTAGTATAATTATTTCTTAAAGAATAGCCATCTAAATCTCTGGCTCTCTTGGTAAACTAAGCTGTTTCCTAGGGTAAATGGTTTTCTTCCATTTCCATCCTCAAGGTTAAAATCATACCGATCTACGTGTAAAAGGGAAAAAAATTACAAGATCATTCCTTCAATCTCATAGTATTTGATTAAATAATTTTTATATTCCAGTTCAAAAATAGTATCATGAAGATTTGATAAGAAAAGATACTTGCTAGCTCTTTGACATGATTGGAACTTTCTGAATCCTGAGGTAAACCTACCTCCATGAAGTATTTCTGTTTTTGCAACTGGTAGCTCTGCTGTGGATTGGACTGTGGAGAGCCATAATGCCATCTTGTGACCATGGATGAATATTGCATCTTGGTCCACCAATAAAGCATTGCTACTTTGTTGATTCATTCATCCATTCCTTTATTCATTAAACGTTTAATGACCATCTATTAATATTTGACAAGCTGTGAGTATGCAGTGTAATGAATGAGACTTAGTTTCTGCCCTTGCAGGATTCAGAGAGAGTAAGAAATACACACATACTTATATATGCACACACACATAGCACAGTGTAATACTGCAATACTATAAGTATTACAGCATAGGCATACAAAAGACCATGGATGGCAACACATAGGAAGAAGTAGCCTACACTCCCTTGTAGGTTAGGGAAGGCCCCTGAGAGGTAATGACACCATCTACATTTTCCCCTAATCAGCCAATGTAAGAGGACTTTGATGTGGCGAGTCTCTGATGTTGCAAGCACTGTTAACCTATCTGAGTCCATAAACACATAGCAGGTAGTATGACTCTCGGACTAGTGAAATTATAATTATCTATTATTTGTTCAGGGAATGGTTGAGTCACTGTTTAGGCTGTATGACTTTTTTATGAAAGGAGCAGATTTAGCTTCTAAGAGATAGGGTTTTTAAAAAAAAAAAAAAAAAAAAAAACGGTAAATTATATTCTTTAGACTACCCCCAATAGGCTGCTGTTATAGTTTATATCATAAATGGTCTCTTTTTAAGAAAACCTGAAAAGAAAAAAAAAAGCTATTCTTAAGTACAGATGAATTGCTGCTAAAAAGAGGCAGCAATCATAATGGAGACATCTGTATTCCATCTTTGCAAAATAACTTCATTGACAGAAAGGATATAGGACAATTTTGCACATAGAGGACAAAACATCTATGTTGCCAAGAATCTCTTCTTGAATTCTTGAATTGTTAATGCTCTAATCTAATTAGGAAATTTAAACTAGGGTTGCAAAGTTACTTTTCATGAGATTTTGCTGATTTCATAGTAGGATGTACACAATCCAGTTTTTGTGAGGAAGAAACAACTATTCACTCTATATTCTGCAAAGCGTAATTATTTTAGGAAATTGGTCCCTAGATTAATAATGGTTACAGTTCTAACATCTGTATGTTTCAGATTTTGTGAGAAATTGGTAACAAGAGAACATGTGGAGATAGCCAGTGATCCCATTTTAAAAGTTTCAAGTTACTATATGATTAAATTTTGCATACAAACTTTTTAATTGATATTTTCATGCCAGCTTAACAATTTTTATAAATGTGTTTTTTATACTTCTAAAGAGAAGTAATATCTTTCATAAAATTTAAAAAATGGTTTCCTAGATGTATTTGCTAGTATTTGGTAGATTATTTAGCAGACTGCTTCTGATTTTATGAAACTCTGACTTACCCATTTATCCCACCAACATTTGTAAAATGGACTTAGTAATTATTGTTTTTAGAGGGCTTAACTATTTTAAAACTCTTTTACTAAAATGTGCTTTGAAATTTCAGAGAGCATGGGCTTTTCTGTATTTTAAATCTTGTGAGTAGGATAACCTAACGTGAGGTGAATTGGAAGTTTACACGGTGACTTCAATAATTTTATGCTATTTTGGATATGGGCAGGGTTTGACATATTTAAGATCATGGGAGTTGCCTAACTTGATTTTGTTAAAGTTATCAAAACCTGGTCGTGGACCTAGATTTGTTAGTGATATGCATTTTATGTCTTCTTTTCTGGAGTCCCAGAAGGAATTCCAGGGGTAAGATCCTGAACTAGGGAAGTAGTGGAACAGTACACATTCGTTCCTTCTGTTTCCTTTTGAAGGTAGAAAATCTGTTAGGTCTTAAGGATATCAAGGCCTATAAATAGTTCTCAACTTTCAGCCAAGTGAAATATCCAGAATATCAGATCAATTCCATATGGTCTCTTGCATTCTAATTAAAAAATAAAAAAATAGGAAGGGGCAAAGCTACAAAGGGCAAAGACAACTGGGAATTAGAATCTATTACAAAAAATAAGTAATGAACTAGAATGTACAGGCTAATGACTAGTAAAATAAGAACTTTAACACTTAGTTTGTAAATTCTGGATATATAGATTAGTGATTAGCTATCTTTAAATAAATCTGGAACTTTTTAAGGTTACTTTGTAATCTCTGGGTCTGTCAGGGTGCCTATGTAATCTATTGCTGGTTCTCAGTAGCAAAGTGAACACAGAAATTTGGACAGCTCTGTTCTAATGACAATGATGTCTAGAAAATTATGCAAATCCTTTGAGAAAGAGGATTATCTGTTTGCATTAACAGAAAAGGTGTGTGATAATAGAGCACAAAGATGTCTATAAAAGAATTGCCAAAAATGTTTTATTTTAAAATATTTATTCACATATCTGCTGTTACCTTCATAGATACCTGTCAATTCTCGTGTTTTTCTGTTAGATAATATTTTAGGTTTGAAATGTCAAGTTGAATTAATTTTCTTCTCGTATTTCATGAGGTGTTTCTGAAATAACAGCAATTCTTATTTTATGTATTAAAATTTTATTTTTATACATAATTAAAAGTATTAATATTTTTTGCAAGAGTATAAAATCCATAGGGAATATATTCTGTTTATGTAGTCTATTATTGTTCCCAAGTTTCTACCCTAAGGCCTGGCACCTGCTGTGCTACAAATGTCATGTGTTGAATTAATTAATTCGAGATTATTCTCTTGAGTATTTTTAATTTTATTAAAATTATTAATGAAAGTGAAAGTTGGATAAATCTGAATTTATAAAATTAAATAAGTAAAACACAATGTACATGAGGGGAAAGATAGCACAGTAGTGAGGAAATTGTTTACTTGTGTACATCCAGTTCCAGAACAGTGCCTGACAAACAGTTAAGTCTTAATAAATATTTGCAGACTGACCCAAATATTTGGTGACATAGGAGATATGAATCAATGAAGATATATATTAACAATATCATAGAAAGAAGAATTTAATTGAATAGAGAAAAAGATGTGCTAAAGGAATGTAAATAAATTTGATGATTATTTAGGATATATTTGCTATGAGGTATATGGAAAAGATTCAATTCAGACTATGGCCTAGACTTGATATTCTTTTTAAGTTTAAAAGAAATGAACGAACTTTTTAGGCATTATAACTCTTGATTAAATTATAAATGATTTTATTATTTTTATAAAAAGCAACCTTAATTTTAAATATATTAATGGACTCTAAGATTAAATTTGAGCTTTTTATATTGAGTAATTTTGAATATCTATAATGTGTTATGCTGGAACTGAGCATTTAATACATTTAATTTTTAATCATTTTGAATTACACTGTTGTTTCAGTTTTAATGAACTATATGAATCTATGCATATATATATTTTTAATTTAGTGCCCCAATGCCATACCTGATTGGAATACACTCCAGCCTCATAGAGGTGAGTATCTTTCAGACATGAGATAGTGATAAAATTAACTCATAAAATAATAGTTAAAACAGTTTTGTTTTGAAGGAGTATCAATGGAATATGACAAAGAAGTGGCTAGTTTCATATATACAGTATGTATATCATTTTGAAAAAGACAACATTGAAATAATTTCATTTAAATTAATATACTAAATGGCCATTATCAGTAGCATGAATTCCATAAAAGTAGTTTCTATTTGGTAGAAACCATATGGTAAGTTTTAAATACTAAAACTTCAGTCCTTGATCAACTGCCTTTTTTTAAAATGGCAACTTGTGATCATTTATATCTCTTTTTCAGACCTATATTTTGAAAGTCAAAATTTATATACTTATGAGTCATGAAGTACAATTTTTTATTTTGCAGACTTCATTATGTTCCTACTTATCAATATATATATTTTAAAATGTGGCTTTAATATACCAATCATGAAATTTAGAATATAGCCTTAAGTTTTAATTTTCAGTTCTGTTGGGGTATATAAAATTTAGTAATTTTTTTCCACCATTACTACATCATTTTAAAATAATTTTTGTCACTTATTCCTGTACTGAAAGACCTTGAACTATAAACACCTTGAACTTGAAATCAGTGAGATTTCCAGGAAGGTCTTCTTATAGCATTAGCATCTAACAAAATAAGCAAAAGTGTCCAATTAAAACAAAGACTTGAGTCAATTGAATGCTATAATTATGCTGGATGATTTCAATTTTATTCAGATAAGTTTCTTTTTTTTTTTGCTGGTTGTACAGATTGTACTTTAATGCAGTTTCTACTGAGTAACCTAAATGAGTTAGCTTTGGTTTTCCTCTTAGTTGCCATCACGGTATACACTCCATCAGTCCTTGCTTTGATCAAAGATGAGTCTGTTGATATATTTTAAAACTCCTGAGAATCATTGAGAGAGAGTAATGCCCCTTTAAGAGGCCCAGGTTATGGAATCCGGCATGTCCTCTAGCTTTGCCCTTTTTTTCTCATCATAAAATGCCAGGGCAACATTTTGTATTTTGTTTCACCAAAAACAAAAAAAATTTAAATGAATATCTTTAGTAAGTTTGTTTGTAATATTGAAGTCTGAGTTGGATAACTTTATGACTCCTTATTTTTTATTCATTTTTAGAAAACTTGTTCTTACATGCCAAGATACTTCCAGTGAAAGGATAAATTATATAAAATAAAACATGAATGAATAGATACTTAATTTGTTTTTAGATTGTAGAATATATGCCTGGCATTTTATTTATCAGTAATTTGACTTTATTTAAAATCTAACCTTGGTTGGATTCTTTTCTAAAAAGTGTCATCAAATTTGATTTTTATATTAGTGTATACTTGTCTCTTCCTAATGAATCTAATAGGATACATAATTTTTATAATTATTTATTTATAGAGAAGAAAAACATTTAAAGTTGTTGGTTACCTGTTGATGTTATAGTTTTTTTTTTTTTTTTTTTTGCATGATAATTCTACATCAACTTTTAAAGCAAATGATTCAGCTTTTCCAAAATACTGTATAAAAGGGTTTATATTTTAAACATTCAATTAAATTTATCAGGTATTCTTGGATACCTATAGAAAAAACCAACACTGTTCTTAAGTAGCAAATTTAAGAATTATTTGCGCCTTAAAAAGTGTTGCCTTAGAGAATAATCCATTCTAACTTTAAATTGGCTCTTTTTGTTAAATGAGAATATTTGAAGCCATGATTAGACTGGTCGAAATCTCTGTATTTTTTTATACTCTGGACTTATCTAAGTGTCTTAATAGCATTATTTTAATTGGTTTAATAGTGAATGAGAGAGGCCGGGCGTAGTGGCTCACACCTGTAATCCCAGCACTTGGGAGGCCGAGGTGGGCGGACCACAAGGTCAGGAGTTTGAAAGCAGCCTGACCAATATGGTGAAATCTAGTCTATACTAAAAATGCAAAAATTAGCTGGGCGTGGTGGCACATGCCTGTAATATCAGCTACTCAGGAGGTTGAGGCAGGAGAATTGCTTGAACCCAGGAGACGGAGGTTGTAGTCAGCTGAGATCTCACCACTGCACTACAGCCTGGGTGGCAGAGCGAGACTCTGTCTGGAAAAAAAAAAGTAGTGAATAAGGAGCTATACTGGGGACTTCGGGAATTCTTTTAAAACAATTGGATACCATTCAGCAACTTTCTTGTTAATCTATTACAAGATGATGTAAATCCTGCAAATTTCATTCTTGTTTTGTCACGATTAGGCAGATTTTTTCACTAAAATTTCTATCTTCTCTCTTTTAGTTTCACCAAAATGATCTCATAATTAAAATACTGATACAGCTGTTTATATATTTAATATGTAAGACTGAACTGAATAAATTTTTGCAGTCTGCTTGGCAGTTATTACAACCAGTTTTTTCTCAAGGAATAATTAAAATATTTTTTTATTCCCTCTCTCATGGTCAAGACAGCTGTAACACATTTTATTGTTTTATTAGGTTGGTGCAAAATTAATTGCAGTTTTTGCTATTTTTTTTCCCATGGCAAAAACCGCAATTAATTTTACACCAACGTAATATAACGACTTCTAAACATAGTTATTCTAAGACATGAAATTAATATCTCTTGACATCTTTCTTTCAATTGTTTTAATGGAATTATAGGTAAAGGATGGCCAGAATCTTTTTAAAATACAAATTTTCTTCTAAAATAAAGGCAAAAGACATTTTGTTCTCCCTAAAAAGTAGACTTTGGGGATGAACTCAAGGCAGACTAAGGCCTTAGGAATAAATTGCAGTTCATTAGGAATAAATTAGTGGAGCCTACAAATGTGAGGATTAACTTATTTGTTTTAATATACAATGGATTCTAAATAAAGTGTTGATCCAGTTTTATAAGATCATGTGATTGCTGCCACTATGTCATTTCTTTGTATTAGTGTGCCTAAGTACATTTGTAGCCACATTGTATGGAAAAATTAAATATAGAGGATGTGAGAAACAACTAACTTCACCACCTTATGGTTGTTCTTAATAAGCATTCAGTCTGTGTCTAGTATTATTTTCTTATTTTTGAAGAAAAAAGACATTCTTTTTTGTCTTTTCTTAATTTTGTATCTCATAACTTTATGAGATATATGACAGTGAAACAGAGAAAGAGGTACCATTTTATGTATATGATTTCCATGCCTATTTAGAAAAAAAATAGCTGAAGTCTAATTAGGAGAGAAAAAAATAGTTAATATGTTGATACTAATCCAAATTAAAAACGATTGTTACACTCTATTTTTTCCTTTTTTGCTAATGTATTAATAGAATTGTTTTCACTTTGGGGGCTCTCAGTTTATTAATTTGAAATGAAAATATTTTTCTATTTTTTTGAGTGGTCCCTTGAATAAAATTCAATATTCAGCAATGACCAGATTTTTAAAACTAAGAGCAATTTTGGAAAAAGTGTACATGCCATAGTAGTACCAATTTCCTTGTTCTGAGTTTAGTGATAATGTCCTCACAAAACATTTTGGGGGCACATAGCTTTATCTTAAATTATTTATAGACTAATTCATTTTACCCCTTAACAAATATATCAGGTTTATTGGATTATCTTTACAGTTTCTTTCATAAAATGACAACTTAAAGTTGAAGATGAAAATCAAAATTATGACTTTTGTTTATACAAATGTGATTAATATAATTTATGTTTTTGCTTATAAAGTAGGTTATTGTAGTTATTTTACAGGTAACTACACGTTTATATACGTAAAGCTTTTTATATATATGTATACATGTGAAAAGAAAAGGAAATGAGTGTATTTGTAAATATTTCTACAGTAGTATCAATAGTATTACTATAAGCAATTCTCTGCTAATATCTTAGAAGTGGCTATCTTTTAAGTCTTACTTAATAATAAACAAGACAGATTTCTAGAATCATATGTCCTCACTGTAGACATGATGCCTTAGCAAGTTTAACATTCTAATATGCAGAGATTCGAAACTGTAAATGGATCAGATAAATTTTAATTATGACCAACTAAAATAATCCATTTGGCCAATTTGAAATATATGGTAATAATCAGGTTTGAAGTGATAATTTTCAAAAATGACTTATTGTAGATCATCACTTAAAAAATACTACACTAAAATTAATTATTAACCTATTGCTAGTTGACTTATACAATCATGGAATTGAGAGTTCATGAATATATTTCATTAATGAACACTTATCACTAAGGAATAATACTATTTGTTATAATTTAAATAAGACTAGCAAAATTATATGAATTGTTTAGGTATGCCTATTAGTTTAAGTAGGAAAAATGAACCATAAGTATTTTCTTTAAAGATGAAAAATATGATAAAATTCTTATTTACTATTATTTGTAGACATATTAAGATAATTTGACTATTTTGATTAAACTTTCAAACAAATCTGACAAGTCAAGATAGTCTGATAGGCTATTAAATTTGATACCTTCTATTGAAATTCATGTGAGAAATATTACTAACAAATTCCATATTACTATCTTTTTATTTTCTCTTATTAAGCTTTCAGTCCTCCTCATCAACATATACCTATTGATATGGCATGTAGATAAAAAATTTAAATTATAGTTTAATGTTGTAGTCATAGTTATTGGTTTATGTTATCCCTGCAATATGATTTATGCTAAAAATAGGTATAGAGCTGGCCACAAATTCTTGTATCATGGGACTGAAATTTAACAGATACATTTTAAAGAATATAGTTTGTTTGCAGTTTAATTGTGCCTAATTTATAATAAATTTTGTCATACTTATGTTTAATATAAGATGAACAAATATTCAATTTTAAGCATTTTTACTAAACCTTTTTGAATGGGTTGTAGTCACACTTTCTCAGAAGGCAAAGTTGTTTGTATCCTTTTATAATATAGGATTTTTCTTTTCCCAAGCCTAATGCATTAAGATAATATTTTCTGTTTCCAAGCTCATCATAATTTTGTAAAGTAAATGTACTAAGATTTTTACTCATAATTATGTGTGTGTATGTTTTTTTTTTTAACAGAGAGTGAAAAATAAATCATTGGAAGATGTGGTTATGTTAAATGTTGATACAAATACATTAGAATCACCGTTTAGTGACTTGAACAACCTACCAAGTGATGTGGTAAGTATGTAGGATATTTGGTGGTGAACATATATGTTTTCTCCTGGACCTCTGAATTACTAAGTTATTTTTTGCACTTTTAACATCTGAAATAAAAGGGTTGGGTATTTGCATGGGGTGTGAGAGGAATAAATGTAGATTCTATATTTAATATTTTCACCTTTTAGCAGTTGAGATTTTGAATGGAATATCATATTCCTTATTGTAAAAGTAGGATCATAATTAAAAAGCTAGATGCATTCATTAGGCAGAGTTTCTTTAAACGTAAGTCTCTTCATCTCATCTTAATCATTATATTACAAAGTAGGCATTTCTGTCTGCCTAGTGGCATGTCTTGCAAAAGAATGAGAGAGTTTTTGAAGGCAAGAAGAAGAAGGGGGCCAATTATCGGCTTTTGCTTCCCTGCCACCTGCCAGCGCTTTTCCTTTTAATTAATGATCTGATGTTACTGGTCAATATAATAAGAAATGCTTGTACAGTTGGGGTCAGAAAATTCTGGCTTTGATCTTCCTCAACTTTCTGAAACATTTATTTGTTTTCTCTAAATTATTTCAGTTTTATTTTAATCTTTTCTATCCTGCTGAGGGCCACAAGAATGAAAACCTACACTGTTTGTCATTTGCTTTGGCAGAGCAAAGACTGCTTACTTAGAATTCTATTTGTAAATTAAACTGCAAACCCAGTTTGTCATAAAAGACATCTGATCCTTTTGAAATGATGAAAACTGTCTTTTGTCTGTAAAGGCTGATAAATTAAGTGCCAGTTCTCTCCTGGTCTTTGATCTTGCGGAGGGTTGTATGTGTGTGCGTGTGTCTGCAGCTTATAATGGGACATATTCTGTATGTCACGTTAAATAGTCTCCAAAAGTGCATTATTTTTGGCCTTCATATTCCTTAGTACAGGACAAAAATGCAAACTAGTACTGTCTCTGTATATATTTTAATGGCTACTTAAAAATATTTTTATAACATAGTTCTAAGTTAAAATAACTTCCTTTTAAAAAAAGCATTTATCCTTTATATGGATATTAAAAATTGGGAATAAAAATACCTTCAGAGTATATTTTTCTGTAATATTGAACTACTTTGAAATCCGTTATTAAGGAGTTTGAGAAAGTGAATATAAAAATCCTAAACTCAAAAATACAATAATACCAGCCTTGATTGTCATTCTGTCTAATGATAGGAAAAATATGATTTTAAAATCAAAAGCAGATTATTTATGCCCGTAATAACCTAAAATACTTGCTGAACTTGAGGCATGTTAAAATTGAACTACTTTATCTCACTGTAGTAAAACTTATGCTATGAATGTACAAATCTAAACCTAGGTCAGGTGAACAATTACATCTTTTCAGCTCATTGTAACTAGATTACCTCATTGTAAAATTTTTGCAAAAACAAAATCACGAATTTCATTTAAAAATCAATCAAAGTATTATTCACTGAATAGAGAAATAATTATGAAAATAGAATCCCAACTTTTAAGAATGCTTTCCTTATGTGCATGTACTTCCCACTCTTAATGCCCTAAGGAGAAAGATTGTTTGTTAAAAAGAGAAAGAAGAACAAAAAGAGAAATAAATTCAGCTTTTCTGTACATGATATTAAAATTTTTATAGGCAGCTTCAATCATAGATGATTATTGAGAAAAATAATCTGTGAAATTTTATTTTTTGATGGGTGATTCTTTTTTAAATTGAAAAGTACTACTTTCCTAGTAGAATCAGTTTGATGATTAAAACATTTATTTAAATATATGGAGAAGTTAAATAATATTCACACATGTAAAGGTCTAAATATATCGAATGACAGAAGGGACCATCTTGTTATTTACTCACAAACAACAATATAAATGTAACTGAAATATTTAAAAATACAGATAAAAAGTTACACTGAAAGGTGGTGTAGATTGATGAAATATATGTTTGAAATTAAAGGACACGGACTTACAGAGAAATTTAAAGAATGGACAAAAAAAACAGCTCTGAGGTGGAGTTCGGACCATTTACTGAAAGTATGAAATGTTTAGAGTTATAATAATTTTCAAAAACTATTTTAGGTGATTTTTAGAACCCATTTCTAATGAATTTAGCTATTTCATCAATTTTATAAAATTATCTCTTACAATTTTGGGGAAAATAGGATGAAGCATCATATTTTTTAGAAGCTACCCTGCCTCCACTAGACAGGACAGTTGTAAATGTTTTAAATGAGATGTGTTAAAATCACAAATGATCTTACTAAAATTTTTTGTGTGTAAGTTAAATTGATAAAATATACTTGAAACCTGAAAAATGTTACTATTAGTATTGTTTGATTATTTAATAGGTTAACTGAGATTTAAATGGGGGGGCCTTTTAAAATCATTTACTAAAGCATTTAAATTATGCGTACAGGCTAGCTGACTTTCTATGCATGTGTAGTCTATTATTGTGTCAGATTGACCAGTGGTCTTGGCTGTTCAAAGGTCAGTGGTCACAGTTGTCCTGAATTACTAGTTCTTTTTTCCTGTGGACCCTCTGCTGTGTTGCATGCTGTAATCTTCTTAATGGCTTCATTCCAATATTCACACATAATATTTTAGATTTATTGACTGTTAGAAATACTACCATGCCAGTAGCAGTTCCGGTACTCTTAAGGTATTTAAAATTGGAAAAATAAATCAGGGCAAAGCTTTCAGGATTCCTTTGTTTTCGTTAAGGGAGGGGGGAAAACCTCTTTTCCTGTCTTCTGACAAGAACACTTGTTTTTCGATTTCATCATTTCACTATAGATTTGGATCATTAAAAGAAAAAAACAAATATTTTTTGGGGAGTGAGTTTGACAATATTGATTATTACATGGAATAACTTTTAAAGGCAGTAGATCCAATAAAATATACTCTTGTAGTTTTTGTCTATGAATATATTTTGACTTTTTTTTTTAGTGGCTGTGCCAAATAGACACCTTCAAACATCTGTAGTGTAGTTTGAATGTTTTGAAATAAAAAAAGTAAATGTTAGGACTCAGCTACAGCATCAGCCAAAGTTAGTGTTATTGTGGTATGTTTTTAAGGGTGAGAAAAAGAACCAATTGAATTAAATATAATGTTTGAAATCTCAAATGAGTTGATTTTAATTTATGAAAATGCAGTATTAAAACCTCTTATTCCAAATACATATATAATTTAGTTTTAATTACATAATAATTTAAAATTATTTCTGAGATATTCCTGCTCCTTTTAATTTTTATCATAATTAACATTTTAAAAATCAATTTGGAGGTTGTTACTATTTCAAATATAAATAGAATTACCCTCTTACTAGGAAGTTAAGCTAATAATTAGAAATATAAGATTTAGGAATTCTCTTCTCATATGAATATTAAATTAAACAATTATAAATTCTCATTGATGAAAGCACATTAGAATTGACATCTGAAAAAGTTACATGTATCAGAATATTCATTACAACAGGCAAGTTTTTTGACCTGTATTGCTTAACTATCTCTAATAATTTAAACTCATTAGATTGTAAGAATAGTAATTATGTCAGTAGATCAATATGCTATTCCTATTTTAGATAAGAAAATCAAGGCTCAGAAAGTATACTGCTAATGTTATATCTAGAGATTTAGTTCGTAGAGGATGATCCTCAGGCCTATGTCCCAAAGAGTTGATCATTGTCCCTTTCATATAAATGCGATATACAATGTAATGAATAACTCATTTAAAATACAGAAGCTTATTTGCCATTTAATCTTGTTAAAGAAATACCAGTTTGATCCATTTGATTTAAATTAGGATTTTCAGCACAGTTTTTAAAACTTCATTTTCATCTTGAATGTAATACTATTGGAAATAATTTTCTGTTTTCTACTATAAGGGTATAGAGAAAATATGGTACACTTAAGAGTTATTGTACAAGTCACTGTAGACCACTGTATGTTATATTGTAGCTATATTTGGTATGAAGCATATTTAATTACAAAAACATTAGAAAGACCTTATAATGATGCTATCTAAAATATGTATATTATACTGAAGCTTTCAGGAATCATAAGAAAGAGTGTATTAAATGGTTTTATTGTGGGAAAAAAAAAGAAAAAAGGAAAGACACAAATTGCTCTGAGTCACCAAAAATCATTAAGAGCATACAAGAACTAGAGACAACCCTTAAAACTGTGATATCAAACAAGATTTTTGAATATCTACATTCAAGTGAATTTATTAATTTGGGGATAAGTTGGAAAGAATTAGTTTTTTCAGAGAATTTTAAAATAAACTTTTCAGAAAAATATTCAATTATATAAGCAAATTAAACTTTTAAAACTACACAGATTGTCAATGGATATGTTTAATTCATTGAATATTTTCTGTAATCAAACGTGAAGGTTTAACATGTTAAATTGTCATAATATATGTTATAAAGAAAAAAAAGGCCCCAGAGAATATTATATTAGTTCCAGGTTTGCCACAGTTCTGCTATAATCCTTATTGTGTTTAATGGTAAATGAAGTCCCTAACAAATTTCTAGAGTGGTCAGGTTAGAAAGGTTCATTCAGCTTCTAGAGTAATTTGGAGAACATTTATTACTTCAGGAGAAAAATATTGCTTTTAGTTTGCCCTTGGAAATGTATAGTCATACTTTTTCTTCTCTCAATCCCCAATTGCTAGAATTCAGGCATCTAGTTGTCCCTTGCTGCCACCACACAGCCTTGGTACAGTGGTTTGTAAATAGGCATTCAATAAGTGATTGCTGAAAGGAAATAGAATTGCACTTCTTTTATCTTTTGTAATAGAAGCTTGCTTTTAAATTCTCTGTTTACAGTTACCTCCTAGAACATTTTATGAGGATATTTCCATTTGACTTTAATAATAATGAAAATGAGAAATCTGGAAGCATATATAAAACACACTTTTTAAACTATGAATATAACCTTTTATTTCCTGTATTTGGAAAAAGAGACCATGTTGTGATGGCAGTCATTGTGCTTCTGCATTCTCAGCTGAATGTCTGGGGAAACTCAGCTATTCTTTTAAATAGTTATTTTCAGAAACGTAATCATTTACAAAGTAGCTTTTTGTTTTTAGGTATTATATATTTTGCTGTTCTCCCAACTGTTTTCTTGGTGTATATTTTAAAAATATAAACCTTAAATGCTAAAACAAAGAAAACAAAAGCAAAACCCAAAAACCTTAACTGTGCTTCTAAACATTTAAAAGATTGTTGTTCATTTCTCTCAATTGAATAAGAGAATCTGGCTTTCCTACAGCAGCGATCCGGGCTTTGGTAATCTCCCCTTTTATGTGTCTGTACTTTTGCCACTCTAAAGTTGATTTATTGTTTGTTACTTTTAGTGATTTTAAGGGCTCAATGAAGTTCCTTGGCTTTCTTGTTCCTTGGCTTTTCATTTCCAACTAAATTACCTAGCCTTTCTTTTAATGTCTTCCTCCCACCCACCATGTATTATCTTAATAGCATGCTCCTTTCTCTTGTTATTGCAGATATTTTTTCCTAAAAAAGGTAAACCTTGATTTGGGCTTTTAAAATTATTTCCAATTTATTTATAGTCCTTTAAATTCTTGATTTTTCCACATTCAAGCAACTTTTTTGTGTGTAATATTGTGAGTACTGTCACAATAGTGGTACCCAAATATTGCTGATATCATAATGACCTGGTGACCTTTTAAATGAATTATGTTTCTGAGCACTATCACAGATATTTTGATTGAGTCAACTAGAGAAATGAATGTAGACTTGTGCCCAAAGCAGGTTGTTAGATTTGTTCATTTATTCATTCATTCAGCAGGTATCTGTCAAGTATCTACTATGTATACACATTGTGCTAAGAACTGGGTATACAGTGGTGAACAATCAAACATATACCCTAATTTCATAGAGTTTATGGTGTGTTAACATTCATCTAGCATTACAAATGTTATAAGGAAACAAGGTGCAGTTGGAGAGAATTACAGTGGGATCCTAATTTAGATTAAGGGTGAGATAGGTAAAGGCTGGGCCTTTTCTAGCTCAGTGATGCAGGAAAAAAACCACGTGTGCCTCGTGGTGCAGCAAGGAATTATCTTATGTGGTAGTGCATAAATTATTGGAGGCTCACGTGTTCTTTTCCAGCTTAATAGTAAAGGCTGCAAGCCTGAGGTTTAATTTTTCTTATGACCTGGCAGGAACCCGATGCTGTGCCAGTTTCACGGAGGATGGGATTTCAGGTGCACCAGTGTGAGAAACTATGGAAGCAATTAGGAGTTTGGCCTATATTCTTATCTCATATCTCTCATATATCCTTTATACCATTTGTTTTTCTTTTAGGTGGTATATTAATTAGGGTACAAGCTAAGCCGTTGTAACAGAGGGACCTAAATACCCATTCTTTGATCAAAATAGAAATGTATTTCTCTATTATGTAACAATTAAGAGGTAAATTTTCCAGAGATGGGGGGCAACTCTGCCATCTTCAATACATAGCATCCATTCCAGGTTTAAGGTAGCTGTCCTGTGCTTTTTGTCTACCTTGCCCCAGAATAAAGAGGGGAATTCAGAGAGGGGTATTCATATCCCTTTTGGGAACAGCTTGGAAGTGTCATGTTCCTCAACTCACATTCCGTTTGTCTGAACCCAGCACTATGGACACACCAAGTCCCTAGGGATGTTGGAAAATAGCTGAGTTAACCTAGCTTTGTTAAATATGCACCAGTCCAAACTTAAGATTTCCATTACCGAAGAAGGGAGCGTAGATGTTTGTGGACTGAAAGCCATCTCTCCTATAAGTAAACTGATATGGAAATAATTTTAGCCAAGCTGAGATGCCATTCTTACTAGTCTGCACACTCAGATCAGCCTTTTGTGGTCCAACCAATCTCAGTGTATCAGGAACATCTTGCTGCAGAATTGGCCTGAATGTTGATAAGTATGACTAAGCCAAGCGGAAGGAGGAAGAAGATGGGAGGAGAGAGAACATATATAAAGGTTTTGCTATTGGGAAAGGATTGGTTAAGTCAAGACCGATAGCTGTAGTGAGATGAACAAAAGAATTATGCAAAATGTGTCAGTAGAGATAGGCAGGGGCGATCATAAAAGATGTGTAGTTCTTGTTAAAGACCTTTGGATTTTATTGGAAATTTATTGAAGATTTTTAGCATAGAAATAGTGTGATACACTTGAAGTTAAAAAAAAAAAAATCACTTTGGGTTCTGGGTCCTGGATCACCAGGTATAAGAAACAAAGCAGGAAGATCAATTTGGAGACCATTTGTAGTGGTTGAGGTAAAAGATATTAGTTGTTTGGACCTGATGATGGCAGCGATTTAGAGAAAAGTAGACAGATTTGAAATCTGTGGCAGAGGTAGAACTGATGTATTTAGTATGGGAGATGAGAAAGGGTAAAGTGTTGAGGAGGACCTGCAGTGTACTTTTTGAGCAACTTGATGAGTGGAGGTGATGCTGGCCTGACATGGAGCCTGAGGTGGTTGTCTTAATTTTAATTTTAAGGTCCCTCTAAAAGGAAAATAGTTGTAGATGATGCCATATTAGTATTTGACAGGTACTTTAAACATGTAAAGATGCAATGTAATGATACGCTCTGTAGGTAAGTATATCATATGCTTTTCATTTAATAAAAGGTTACTGTTTTAATCCTTAAATAGAGGTTTGTTAGAAAATTATTAAGAGAGAAGAGTTAATTTTGTTTCTTAATAAACTGAACTTTAGAAAGGCTAAAGAAGTTTAGGGATTTTATCTAATTCATGTGATAACATGATTCATGGGAGAATAAAAGGTTTTAACTTTATAACCTTGTTCTACAGCAAATGATTATCTGACAGTTTAACTTTTCTAAATGTATGTAGTTTTTTTTTTTTTTTTTTTTTTTGGTGCTTCAGCTGTTGTTTATTGACATACAGGTAGGCTCTATAGCAACAAGCCTGGAGGCGCTGCTGTAGTGGGGGAAAATGGAAGGTGGAGTGTTTGCGGCAGGACAGCTGAGTGGAGGGTGGGGACAGGTGTGAACTGGGGAGGCCCAGGGGGTTGGGGAAAGCAATAAGGGCCAGGGCCAGAGTTGGCTTAAAGGGAACAACTGCTCTGTGCGCTAAGGCCCCTAACTCTCGCTGGCTGTTTCCTGACCCCAGACCAGGGTTGGGAGTCCTCTGGGCATCCATTTTCTAAAGGAACTGAACAGAGTACACACAGAAAAGGAAGCTGTCACCCTCTTGCCATCAGTTTAGTTATGTGAAAGGAAGTATTTAAAAATATCTTGGGAGTGTTTTAGGTCGTGTAGGTTTTCTAAATATTATTTTGGAACACTTATTTTTATCTTCTCTCCTTTACCCTGATCTTTCTCTTTGTGATCATTAAAAGTAAAAATTTCTAAGTATAGCAGTTAATATATTTTTACTGCAAAGACACATCTAGAAATCACATCTAAAAGTTAAGTAAAGTAAGAAATCTGCCACTTCTCAGAAAAACTCAGTCCCCTTATATGCTCTGCCTTCCTGGCTTTCTCTCCTTTGGTATAATTACTTCATTACTCAGACTGTGTGCACATGACTTGCATTCTTTTAATGTGTACCTGTTTGCTATGTTTACTCATGTAATTGTCTTTTATTCATAGTCACTTTAGTGCTAAGAGGGTAAAAGTGGAGAATTGGTGGTAATATTATGCATGCTACAGTGAATTCCCACTGTGCTAAAATCAGGATTATAATTCTGCCCATGGATGGCTGCTTGGAGGCCTGAATTCTCACTCAAAGGAATTTAAAACATTTGATAAGAGCAATGAAATGATGTTTATTTCTGAATTTTCATTGTTTAACTCTTTGTGATCTATCCTAATACTAGATTAGACTAAAAAAATGTATTTACAGAGTGTAAAGTCTCTAAAGACAATAAGATAAAATGTCCTTTGTGAAGTAATCTGTAGACATTGGAGGCTAAGGCTAGTTTACTTTCTTAAGAATAAAAAGAGAAAACAATTGATACTTTTTCAATATTAATAGGATTATGTGATAATAGCCATATGACTAAGGTTCCAAATGCTTTTCTGAATTCAGAGTTATGTGTGAGTGTAAGCCTTAGGATTTCATGGGAAGATGTATGTTTATTTTATAACCAAACTTAGAAGTTTGGAAATTAAAGCAGAAAATACTCTTTCCTAGACCAGATACTGAAAAAGTGCAGGACAGACACAATCATTTTTATAGATAAAAAGTGCTAAAAGCTAATTAGCACTGCAAAGGGCATTGGTAACTAGTGATAATTTACTCCATTGATATAAAGGCCAGACACACAGCAAGGCTTATGCAATCGTCTTATATTATACTAATATTCTTATATGTAAAACTGATTTTTAAAAACAATTGTATTTTTACAGACTATTTTTAAGCATTCATTTGCACATGTAGAAACACTTAGCTGCCCTTCTGGTCTCTGAAGAACAGAAACAACCTCAGTTGTACTGACAATTGACGCTCACTAGAATAGGTCAAGGAAAAATTCTTTTTATATGGTTTGCAAAAGTTGAAATCATGTAGAAGGAGGCAAAGGAGAAATGTAACTGTATTTCTTGCCAGGCAATTTTAGTTTAAAATCTGTGTGAAATTAGATAGTATATTCATGTGGAATAACACTATCCAAAAAAAAAAAAGTGAGCTACGTGTATGATTGTGTTTTCTTGTAGCCACATTAAATAATAGAAGAAATAGGTGAAATTAATTTTAATGGTATATTTTATTTAACCCTATATACAAATATTGCTTCCAATATAATCAATATAAAAGTTATATATTATATTTTTATAAAAATTACATTTTTTACTCTTATGGCAAATCTCAGTTGAGACAAGTCAAATATCAAGTATATGTATGACTGATGGCTACCTTATTGGCCGGTATAGTTCTAGTACAAGTACTTTCTTTTTCTTATTTTCTACACACCCACAGGGAGCTCAGGAACTATCATTGACTGGTTTTGGAAGTGAAGACTGCATATTTATGATTTGGTTCGGGATGGCTTGTGGCAGTGGCAGTGTGTTTAATACTTCTGTATAACTTAAGCAGCAATTATGCAGTCAAGGATTTGGTATAAAGGCTGAGGAATGGCTTGACTTGCCTGTATTCTTAGTGAGCATACATGTTGTGATTGTCCTGAGAACATTGTGTTCTTGATTTGTGGAGAATTGAGTTGTGAATTTCCTATTTTATTTAAAAAATACACTTTAAGTAATTTTCTTTTGCAGAGATGTAAGATGTATTTTATTTATTTTTTTATTTTCTAAAGTAAAATCTTTTAAAACCAACTATTTAGGTATAATAATACTTTTAAAAGACTGGCATCATATTTCTTACATCATAATCTTTTTTGGGGGTAGATATAGTAATTAAATATGTATGTTGATATTCACTCCCATTGTTATTTTATTGAAGGCATTTGAAACTTAAAAATAGCATTGAAAGTTTCAGAATAAAGGCATTAATTTATTTTGGTAATTATTATTGTTTGAATATGTGGGTTACCTAAATATGCATTTATTGAGGTTAGATTTTAATAATAAAAACCCTTTTTAAATGAATCCTGGTTTATGCACTTTGTGGGCTAAATGAAATTAGGCTCTCAACTTTTATCTGAATCTATGGAGCTTGGATGTAAATTGAAAAGATCACAGCTTTGGGGAGAAGACCTATACTGCAAAGGCCTTTCTGCATAGATTATGAACATAACTCAATAATTTTTTCAAAACTGTGGTTATAATTGGACCCAATGGGGATCTGTTTCTTTGATCAGATCACAGTAACTGTGACTTTACACTGGAAAATGTCACTACTGTGAAGGTTTATCACCTGTAGAGCTGGTCTTTTCTCTGATGCTGTGTTCATTTCTCATTAGCATTATTCAAAGTTTAGTTGTTAATTAGGTTGACACTTCAATTACAATCGTCTACAAGCAAAGTCAGGGCTACTTGCATAAAGAAGTAAAAATTTCCCTTCTTGCATATATATATATATATATATATATATGTGTGTGTGTGTGTGTGTGTATGTATATGTATATGTGCATGTGTATGTATGTGTGTATATATATATATGCACATATGTACATAAAAAGGAGAAATGACACTATTTTGTTATATGATAGTTTAATAAGGGTAAGAATATGCTCTGTTAAGTGAGCATTCTAACCAAAATTTGTCTTACCAGTTTTTTTCTAAATAAAACAGAATTGTTATACAACTTAACATGTTTCTATTTTAAGCATTGATGAATATATATGAGAACCAATATTTTTAAATGTACAGAATATAGTTTTCTATTTTGTATGAAAGGAATTGGTACAGGGAATTGGATGCATAGGAACATTTTATATTTCCTCCTCCTTAAAAAAATAAGAGTTTATATCAGGAGTATGATCTCATTTAAAATTCTGTTCGTAAATAATAAGCATTGTCTAAAATATATAGCACTTGAAATTAAAAGATAGAAAATGTATGAAAAATTACAACAAACAAATACCTTTTTAAATTATGCAGATTTCTAAATAAATTTTTCTTTGATTTAGGAACATTAGTGTTTTAATCTGATTACTGGTTCATGATGCAGTGATATTGAACTCAAACCATGTGGTAGTGGAAAAAACTGTACAGAGCTGTGTTTAGTTCCTAGCTTTGCCACTTATTGGCTACATAGTAAGGGCAAATGAATTCGCATCTTTGTTCCTCTATTTCTTCATTCACTAATGGGAATATGAATGCTTTTCTTAGAAGACTGTTGTGAAGATTAATGAGACAATGTATAAAATTTGCATAAAATTCTCCACTCATGGTATAATTTCAATAATTTTATCTCCTCTTCCCTCTTTTTTATCTCATAATGACAAAAACTATTCAACAAATGACTGGAAAATTACATATGCAAATGAGACTTCCAAAAATAAAATTAAATGGTAAGTGGTTCTGGAGGACCTGTAGCAAATAACCTTACATAGCAAAAAACGAACGAAACCCAACCTGCTTCATCTGAAAACAAGTAGACACATGTTGTAATTGCTAAAAATCTGCAGAAAAGTGGCTCACAAACAGTTTATTGTAAAATAATTAAAGCTTATTTATGTCAAGAGGCCTTGGGAAAAAAAGAGGGCATAAACCAATTTGCATTAGCACGTTACTCTCTTCTCCTGCTTTCGGTTCAATTAACAGATCAGCAGGTGCTCTCTGCAGTTAAAAAGATAAGCTATCAGGGAGGAGGATGAATTTTTGGCTGACCTGCAGACACTGTGGTTTGCCTGCTGATTGGGTTCTTACCTCGCTGTACCAATTTCTGAGGTGTTAATTTAACTGTTCCTCTCTGTCACGCAGGTCTCGGCCTTGAAAAATAAACTGAAGAAGCAGTCTACAGCAACGGGTGATGGAGTAGCTAGGGCCTTTCTTAGAGCACAGGCTGCTTTGTTTGGATCCTACAGAGATGCACTGAGATACAAACCTGTAAGCGTTTTGTTTCATCACTGTTTTAATTTGCTGTTTTATGGTTGTTTGGAATGAGACAGAAGAAAGAGACATCATTTTAATATCATACCTTGAGAAAGTATCATGGAAGTCTTTTAAGATCCCAAATAATATGTTTTGAAACAAATATCTCATCTCTAATTTTTGACTTTTTATTTTTAGTTTTTAGTACTCTTTTATTAATATTTCCCACAGTCTTTGTGTCACCTTATTAATGTTCTAGAAGTAGCTTACCCCTTAACTAATTAATGAATTATACTAATGTATTTTAAAACACCTGATCTTGTTAAGATCATTAAGAAATTCATAAGACAATTGGGCTTATTAGATTAATGAGTTTAGAGATGACAGGTACAAAGTGATATTTAAGAAAAATAGAACTTGAAGGTTTTACAATATTTGGTAATTTGTTGTCTTCCTAATTCATGACACTTTGCTAAGGTGGGCTTATCTCTTTAGCATATCTTAGCTCATTTTCTCATTCTTTCTGTTTTAGTACACTAATTATTAATGTGTAGAATTATAGCCAAGTTTTTGGAGAGTCCAAAATGGTGCAATGCAGAATTCATTTGTTGCTCTCTCTGAATTGTTGGTTAGAGTATGTTAGGCTGACTTTACAGAAATTATTACACTATTCTTCCTTCACTGGATGAATACGTTGTAAGAAATAAAAACATTTGATTTAGTAATAAGAAGACCTGCTATCGAATAGAAATCTGTTACTAAGCTACGTAACTTTGACCCATTTCCTTAGTTTGTCTAGATTTTGATCTTTGTATTTGTAAAATGAGAATTCTAATACCTTCCCTCTCTATCTTTCAAGGTGGCATAAAACTCAATTGTAAACTGTGAAGCACTAAACAAACATGAATGGGTTATATCTTTTCTAAATTGACTTATGAATTAGTGATTCCCACTCAGGTGGTCCTTATAGCTCTAAAAGGCTATCAAATTATTGGAAGGAGTCTTTAAATGCATGGGCAGATCAGCTGCTGTTTCTCTAAGTGTCTTTGTCTAGTTCACATGCTAATCTTTTTGAGAAATGTGTATATTTTTAAAGCATTATAAAATTCATAGTACTATTCAAAGTATACATATCTCACATCAGGGAGTCTTAAAAAGTTGTTCATAGTTACAAGGGTCTCATTCTTTAAAAGACTGGAAACCATTATTCTATAGTAGAGCATACGTAATTAAATACATATTCATCTTTATAAATAAACTTTTCATTTTTAATTTAAAGTTTGTTAAGGACTTCAGATTTGAAGAAAGGAGCAAATTGAAGTGAGGAGAACGTTTTCTTAAATGATTTAAACTATCAGTGTGTTGGGTGCTGAGTGAAATTAACAAAATATTCCATATGTAGTATTAGTAACTGTAGATTTTATTGTTTAGTTTTTCTCAAGCTTTAAGCTTCATTGAGCAGATAGGAGTGTAAGATTTCAGTGATTAATCTTTTAAAATAAAAGTCTTAAAAGCAAGATTGATAGTATCTGCAAAAAATTTTAATTTTATCAGAGTATCTTTCTTATTTATTGATCACATTTTGTTATAGATTTATTTGTTTAGTTGTCTACATTTTATTCTTTTTACATTTGTTATTTTCTTCTTTTCATTTCTGCTGCTAGTTCTTTTTAGGAGCTGAGGGATAGTATTTTCATTTTGTATGCCTTTACATTTCTTCTGACTCAATCTTTGAATGAAAGCTTCCTTTTTAATGTATACTGAATGCATTTAGATTATTTTTCATTTATTAGTTTCACAAGAAATAGTTTATAAGGAAAATAATTTATTTCTTTTTTGTGCATGAACTATGCTTTTTCAACCACTACCTTCATAAATTACCCTGTACCATAATATATGAAAAGTATATTAATTTTTTGTTTTATAACTCTTTTTGGTCACTGGTATAATAGGCCAATGTCTTCTCTCTGAACTTAGCCATTTTTTAAATAGCAACCAAAATATATTTGAAATCAGCCAAATATATTTTGCTTGATATTAAAAAAAAAGGGCTAAGTGCCAAGAGAAATTTCAAAACATATTTAAGGTGTATCCTGTAGCTATTACAGTACAATTGGAAAGGGAAAGATTACTGAGTAGGTGTTAATGATGTGAATTATTTTACTAGACATTACTTTTTAAAATTTTATGATTGTTTACACACATAAAAATAAAACATCATTTCCCTTACTTTTAACAGAATTAAACCTATAGGTTAGACTAATGACTGACCAGTTTCAGAAGCCATCTCTTCACCTGGCATTCAAGGCCCTTACCGTGGGCAAGCAGTCTGTTTTTCTCTTTTCCTAAACTTTGACCTCAGTTCAGAGAATTCTGCCTGTGGCTTCAGATGTCTCAAGCTTCTCAGGTTTCTGCACATTTGCTTACAATGTTCTTTCTTCTTGGCAATGCTTTTAATCCTCACTTTTAATAGCCATCTAGTTCCTTCATGATCCTGGAAGCTGTAGTTTGTACTGACCCCTTCATTCTATGAATTAATTATACTTATTTTTACTTAACACATTTCTTCACCCTTTTTCACATATTATTTGTTATATCACATTGTTATTTTGACTGATATTTATAATTTTTGATCACTATTAAAACATTAACTGATCATCAAGCACCCATTGGATGCTAGACATTGATAGGCCCATTAGGTAAGTGGCTTCGTTGAATTTTTACAAGCCTTCAAAATATTACCCTTTATATTTTAAAGATAAGGAAAATGATACTTATAGAATTTAAGTAACCTTACTGTTTAGCTAGTGAACAGTGGAGCTTAGATTTGAATCTCTTCTCTTCACAGTCCCTTTCTTGCTCCAGTATGGCATATTTCTGTTCTTCCTTGCCTCAGTTATCGTATGATATACTTCTCAAGTTATGTTTCCTGAATGTACATTACTTCTAAATGAAGATACATGAAAGGCATTCAGTATTCACTAATGGAAAAATAGAAAGTCTTCAGAATTTTCTTAATGGAAACAGGTGGTATAGGCATCTCATAGTGGGTATATAAATTGGGGAAGTGATTTGATCTTTATTCTATTTCCATTTATGGTTTTGTTTACCTGTAGTAACTTACACTACTCAAAATGGCTTCATCCTCTTCCCTCCAGTCTTCTAATTCTTCTCTTCCCTTCTTTGTCTTAATATTCTACACAGCAGGACTGAATGTATTATATGGAAGGGGAGTTTTGATTTGTCTATTTTTCTTTCTCTGTAGAAAATCATCTAAAGTAAAAGTCAATGGCCAGATAGGTCATTGTATAAGAATATACTTCTTATTCTGTTTATTTAGATGCATTATAGATATAATTTATGTTTATCAGATATATATTGAGTACAGCAATAATAGACCCTCTCTGAAGCTTCTGGACCAAAAAATAAATAATATTAAGCATGTGTCCCCTCTTCCCCCAGGAGCTTAATAGTAATATAGGCTGATATAGTCATTTCTTCTCTAGCAGTAGTAAACAAGATGAATCAGAAAATAATAAAAGAAAATTATGCTTCTAAATCTATGGGAAACAAGAAACCTGGGAGATAACTATTGAATATGTGCATTTTTCTGGAGAGAGTATTCATATCTTTCACCATGTTCTCAAAAATGAACAAAACCAAAAAGAGTTAGGATTCACTCCATTGAGTCAGCAGAACCAGTCATAAATGACCTTTCAATCTGGAGAGTTTCAGCTTTATCTTACAATTAATGCACAGTTTTTCTAATTATTTATCGTGGGAATGCAGTCCTTAGCATTGTGTAGTGGAAAGATCACGTTTATGATGTTGTTCATGTTAGATCGAAGTTGAGCAAGACCAGAGGCAGGGAGACAAGTGTGGCTATCATAGTCTTATTGAAGAGAGAGCAAGAAAGGACCTTTGTGAATATCCTAAAGGCTCAAATATCAAAGACCTTAGGAAGGAAGACAGGAACACTGGATGACGATTAGGAGAAAAATACCCACCAGGATGATTTGCATATTCCTATACAAAACTAAATACATATGCTAAATACTGCCAAAAAGTAACTTATTTTAAAAATTAAGTATTTAGAATGTCTAAGCTAGCAACCCTGAATATGTTGTTACTTACAGTGCCTAATCCACACTCTAAATGTTACACTGGCATGATTGGCAAATAAATTGTACCTACTCTTAATTACAGAGAAAAATACAAAACTCCTTAAAGTTTTTGGAAATTTAAATAATGAATATTTTATGCTTTTTTTTTTTTTTGGATTTTGGCCAACAGCAAGTTAGCTACTTTTTGAGAGTTGAAAAATGTGAGATAAAACTAAAGTATTAAATGAACTAAAGAAAAGTGATAAGAGCACAAGACTCTGGAACCATACTTCCTGGATTCATCCTCATTCTGTGACAAACTAGTTGTATGACTTTGGGCAAATTAATCTATTAGGGCTTTGGTGTTAAAAAAAGTAATGATACTTTTTGCATTGGCATGTAGTAAATGCTGTTTATGTTGCTGTTATTAAAAATAAAATATTAGAGTCAGCAGATTTAGTAAGGAAAATCCCTTTAGCATAACCACAAACGATGCATCTTTCCAGAAAGTAAGGAAAACATTGCCTTAAACATGACAATCCTTTTTTTTTTTTTTCACTTTTCCAAAACACATTTTTATTTTTTTTTAAATATACACATATATGTGTATGTGTATATATATATATTTTTTTATTTATTTATTTATTTATTTTATATTACATTTTAGGTTTTGGGGTACATGTGAAGGACATGCAAGATTGTTGCAATAGATACACACATGGCAGTGTGATTTCCTGCCTTCCTCCCCATCACCTATGTCTGGCATTTCCCCAAATGCTGTCTCTCCCCAACTCCCCACCCCCTGCTGGCCCTCCCCTATTTCTTCCCGACAAACCCCAGTGTGTGATGCTCCCCTACCTGTGTCCATGTGTTCTTATTGTTCAACACCCACCTATGAGTTAGAACATGCGG